CCGATGCATCGCTGTGGCAAAAAATAATTGTTTGCCTGCAGGTATTGCCACAGCTGTGGCTGACAACGCCGATGTCTCGACGCCACACGTCTCCTGTTCCAACTGTGGCTGGAGACCGTGCGCCTTGGAATACCCCACAGGGCACTCCAATACTAACACTTGAGCTCTCGATCCCAGGAAGGCGTGAACGATGTCAACGCCCCGAGCTGTTTTTTCCTCGACACCTTCGTCGTCGAACTTCCGGCAAACATTGCCTATGATGACTTCATGCCGCGCCTCCGTAAGAGCCCGCTGGTACTCCTCGCTAACCAAGTGTGCCCTTACCAACGTGGTGTTTGTTGCCTCTCCAGGGATTTGCTCCTACCCACTCCAGCGCCCTCCAGTCGGGGTCGACGGCGACAACCACCTCGAACATGTTCTCCGCAGCCAAGACCGCTCCCCCAGCGCCACAACCTTAAACCGCGGCTTTCGGTTGTCTTGGCGATAGGAAGGCTCGCACCTCGTCGTGGATGGCTTGTTGCCATGCGCCACTCTCTCATGGTGGGGGTCTTATGTAAGCTGTCAATCGCAGAGGACTGCCAGGTTCCCTTCTATCCGGGCGTCCACTGTAGTGGCCCCCAGAGCTGCTAGTGACACATCGCCGTCCAACACCACGTTGCTGGACTCCTCTTGAGTGGTCTCCGGCGGGGCGAGGTCTTGGACGTGTGTGCCTTCTAGCACCGGCTAGCACCGACCCCCCAGGACCCCTCTCGTCGTCTCCTCTGCTGGTGGCATTTAGGAATGTGGTATCGATGTCCGCCTAGGCCCCTTTCGTCGTAGGCGGCCCTGGGCGTCCAGCGTGACGTGGTCAGTTCCCTTGCGCCGTTTGGGATCCATGTCGAATTACATTGGTGCATTTTTGGCGAGAGACTCTGAATGGCGAAGAGCCACAAGGGGGCGGAGCAGTTCGTCACGACGGTGAACCTGCGGTGTTGCGGAAATCATGTCTTGAAGTGGTGAAGAGCGTGCACCACTCCTAGCACCTCTCGATCGTTGGGTGACTATGTTTCCTCGCACCTCTGTCTCCCCACGCTATCGCTCCCGGCTCCAAGGCCTGTGTGGCTGCAAGTTCAGTAAGTATGTCCCGACGGTCCTCCTTTTCCTCCGGGGACCACTTCATCGACCAGAACACTTGCGGTGTACGTGTGCTGGGAGGTGTGGTTGTGGAAAGCCCACCCCGTTCCTCCGTTCGCTCTTTACGCGTCACCATCGGCAATACGTGTTCGATGCCCCCCATGCTGGTGACCGTGGTGGCTCACGCAGCGTTTAGGACCGTAGATCTCCAACCCCGCCCCGTCCCCCGGTGTTTGCCATCGGGATGGGGTTTTCGTCGCTTGGCAACGACGTTGTAAAATAAGCCAATTCACTTCGTGAACTCGGCAACCAGGTTATCGTTTTTTTTTTTTACCTCCGGTTTTTTTTTGCGGTAACCATAATGGTGGTCGAGTAGATCATGTTGTGCGGGGTCGAGAACCCTCACTCCACGCAAAGGGGATGATCGCACCACGTTGTGTGAAAATGGTCAAGCACCCTCGAGGCAGTTACACAGTGCTTACAACTGTCTCTGGAAGTGAAAGGACCAGAAAATAAATTAAGTCATACGCAGCTGTCATCCGTACGCAAGGAAGTAAGCACAAGATGCCAAACACCCTTAGTAGGATACAGCGCACCCTTCATGCGACTCGCCGAATATCTCACGGCGCTTCGCGCTTGGTGATGTGAGAGCCTGGTCTGGTGAGAACCCGGC